TCAACTGCTAAATTCAAACGTGCTTTCGCGCGTTGGCTGGCGCTGAGCCAGAGACAGACGCACTCAGTGCTGTCATATATCACAACTATTTAGTATTTTAAACCACATAATGTTTATTTTAGGTTTCAGACATTTAAATACACATAAGTACTAGCAAAACAGTGATTTTGAATTAGTAAAATAGACACTGATGTCTATGGAAACGGCAACAATAATCATTTCCATTGTAATAAGACAAAACGTTTTATTCAAATCAGATACACATTGTGTAAGTAGCTTTACATTTTACCCTATTCTTCTCCTAGTTCACCGGCCACTTACTTTCATGTATTTCGTGAGAAACAACAGGTCCGATTCTCTGAACTGTGAAACAAACTAACATGGCGCCGCCCATCGTGCATACAGCTCAACTAACGCGATCGTTATAAATATGTTTAAACAACAAAACACATCCACTTGCACATATTTGACAATCGGAATATCAGTGTTTCATGCTATAGCTAATACATTTGTGAATATTTTGAATAGAAAAGGAAAAAAGACATAAAAGCAGATCATCACTCATTCAGCTCTGTGTTGTGATTGCGCTGTGTCACGTGACAAGAAATGACGCGTCACCATGGAAACATTAAAGTGACAGGTTCTAAATAACGGTCGCCTTGAAAAACTCATGCTGGGGGGTCAGTTAGAATATTTTAAACTTACGTGTGAAAGGGTTAATGAGTAGTTGACTAATTGATTAATTGAACTATTCCTACTCTAATTACTCATTAAGCCTTTAATTACTTGAATCAGGTGTGCCATTTCAGAGTTAAAACAAAAACATGGCCTGTCAGGGGGTCCCTGCAGGAGAGGTTGAGAACCACTGACATAACCAGTCACTAAGACAACGAATGCCAGGTACACAACACGATTTTAGCCCAGATTTTCACTCTCCAACAGTTTTGTGGAAATCACAGACTGGAATCGAAGGCAAATCGGTGCTCGTTCACGTGAGTGACATTCCCGTGTATTATCAAAGACGTGATCTGAGAGAAGCGCAGATGCTTCGTGATAGCCTGTGATATATTTAGCAAGCTAAATATCTGTAGCTGTCTGCGACTCAGAGTACTGTAGTGTGAAATGTGTTTTGACTGGAAATTACATCGGCGATGACCCACACAGCCAATGAGAGAGCAAGATATAGGGCAAGGGAAAGTTCAGAGGGAGAAGTCATAGACCTGCAACAGAACATCAGCAAGCATGGCTTCTGCAAGCAAACATTCTCTTCTTCATATTCTTCCTTTCCTTTTCCTTTTTCGCTGCAAATCAGCGCACAGCCAACTTGGATTGCAAGCTTCTTGCAGGCTACAATTTTGAATAGGAAGAAATCCAGTCTCGCATGAGAGCTCCTGTCTCACGTGTGATCTTATACATTATTTCCTGTATCATTTCTCTAGTCAAGTGTGTTTGATTGTGAAACAGGTGTATACCAGACAGAGTTGTCAGTGAATTGTGTATTCCCAGCACAAGGAGTGTGTTAAGGCCCCGGTATATTCACAGTGAAGTTCTTTTTCTTTCTTCACTTAGGGGTAAAGAGAAGTTCAAAATACGTGAGCAGCGATATTCTGTAAGTGAACATCACGTGTTCGGGATGTAAAGTGTAAAGGCTTATCACCTTGCCCCATTTGAATATATTTCTTCAAGGTATTTACACTCAAGTTCTCTGTTGATCAGTTTATCTGAATAATTTGTTTGGTATATTTTCACATACATGTTTACTACTTTCCTAGGTTTGCATAGTGGGATGGCCTATCAAACAGTCTCGTTCAGTTCATTAGCCCCACAGGTGTTTAGCAGATGGCTGAAAGCAGATTTTTCCCCATTGAGAAACAATGGAATAAGGACATTATACTACAAGGATTATAGGCTTCATAGATAATAATAATAATTAATAATAATAATAATGTACTCCTCTTCAAGAGAACAAGTGAATAAAGATTTCAACATGATGTTAAATCATCTCTGGAATTGACATGCAGTGATACAGTTCTAACTGACTCTCTGAAAAGAATTGATTAAATGAAACAGGACACAAACTGAAACAGCCACTGAATTTTTCTCATTCGCATTAATCTCAGAATGATGCATGTTTATCTACTGTCATTAACACTCCATGATTTCTCATCTATGTTGGACATGCAGTAACATGGAAGTGTCACTTGCAAGAGCAATGGAGTCATTCGATTTCATAGTCAGTGTGACAGTGCTGCAGATTTTAACCGTTCTAAGAAATGGAACACAGTCACAGTCACTTTCTGTGGCCTTTGGAGAAAAGCCAGTCAAATTACATTAATACTTCTGAATAATTTTTATAAGTGCTGTATACTTACAGATACACATTTGCAACAGAGTTTGTTTTAAATAAAGAATACTTTGAACTGAAGTTTAGACACTGGCTCCCCTCAAATCATTGTAACACATTTTTACAATATTTTACTACTATAGACTCTAGTGGCTTAGAAATCAAAACACCATAATTTGTATGACTTTTGGTTATTTTTAAAGCAATTCATCACGTTTATCCAACGTTTCAGGGTTCACACTAATATAGAACCAATGTCCTGATTCAAAATGAAAGTACAGAAAATGGCATTTTCAATTGCAGATTTTTTTAATACACTTCATATTTACATATCAAATCTACAAAATAGACGCATGTTGAAATATGCTTTAACTCATACTTCCAGTCCCATAGCCCTTTACACACAATCCCAGGTTACTTACATCCCAACATTACATTTTTGATACAGTAAGGTCAGCAATGCAAAACAAAATACTGGCACTTCAAAAGTAGCTAAAACACATTGTTAAAACATTTCCTGTTGTTTAGGACACAAAGTAGTGACATTTAAGTACAGGATTCATTAAATGAATTAGAGTTTCCTATATTCTTGTTAGCTTGAGAATCAGTGGCAACACACTACAGGCAGAAGATACTCAGAGAACACATACAGCTGTACCAGGATCAGTGTTGCTGTAAAGAATGTCTGTGCACAGAACTGAGAGGAGCTAACCAGTCACTAGAGGCGCAGACACCTAGCAACCTTCAAATACTACAGCACCAATAGAAATAAACTTCATAACATAGACCACTTACAGTATTTGAGGTACAGTATATGTCACACAATCACAATTCATTGAAAACTACTGCAATACAGCTTATATATTAAACAGCATAACAGATCAATTGAGTTAATTGTAGCATGTATAGCTGACAAATTACGTGTTCTTTTGTTTTCATTCTGTTGATTATTGATTTGAAATTGAGTTCTGGTGACTCCCAAGGTCATGCTAGTTTTCCAGTAACATATGATTCAAATATATAATCAAATATGTTTCATGAAATCAAATCAAGTGTGCGATTTCAGGACAAAAATTTTGGTAACACTTTATTTGACAGTGTCCTTGTTACATATGTTACATGTACTTACCATAGTAATAACCGTAAATTATGCATAATTACATGCAACTAATCCTCAACCAAATCCTAATCCTACCCTATAGTAAATACATGTAGTTGCTTAATGTTACTCAGTACTTAAATATATAATTACAGTGTAACAATGACACCTTAAAATAAAGTGTAACCTTATCTTGTTTTAATCATTTTACTTACATGCATAAATTATATATTTTCCTTCATATGAGACAGCTCAAGCGAATTTCAATCACTAAATCACAGTCAGAAAGGATATTTCAATAACATATAATTCAAATGATGCAATGTGGCACAAATAAATCAAAAGGGAGTAAAATTTGTACTTCTATTTATTTAAATATGAGAGGCCACCCCTGCAGTGCGTCATGAAGCCTGTGCCAATAAAGGGCTTTGTTTACACAACACCATTTTCACCTAAAAGCGTAAAACTGTTTATGCGTTTTGGCCATTAATTTACATGACAACAGCGGTTTGGGATACTGAAAACACAAACTTTTGAAAACGGGATTCAAAGTGCAAGTTTTTGAAAACAATACTGTTATTGCCTCCGTGTAAACTACAAAAACGTGAAATTGTGAAAACGGTCATGTCATGTGCATGGATATTATTTGTTCAATCTATAGGCGCATAGTGTTTCTTTACAAAGAAAGGAGTGTTTTAGTCATTGTCAACGTGCCGTGTGAACGGGGATCGTTTTGACAGGGTAGTCGGCTGTATATGTGAAAAACGGTTCTCAACTCTGGCCCTCAAAGTTCACTTTCCTGCAGAGTTAAGGTCCAACCCTAATCAAACACACCTGAACAAGCTAATCAAGATCTTCAGGATTACTAGAAGGTTGGAGGTAGGTGAGTTTAATCAAGGGTGGAGGTCAACTCTGAAAGAAAGTGGATCTCGAGGGCCAGAATAGAGAACCCCTGGTCAAAAATGTGCTATAATGGAATGGCAAAGTGAAAGTTCCTCTACACAACTGAGTAGATGTTAGATGAAATTTGACTCTCAATTCATTTACAAGTGTTTAAATGTGCTCTAAGCGATGTCACGCGTTTTTTAGGCCAAAACATTTTTTGTCACATACAGCAAACATCTCCTCACTAACCGCTGGCTGCCTGTCCCCTGAACACACTGTAAAGAAACGCGATCTCTGTAGACAGCCCAGGCTCCACAAACAGCAACAAAAACAAACTGGGCTAACCCGCTCCACGAAACATGACAAACAGTTCCAGCCAATCACCGACAAGAAGGACTTGGGGCGGGTTTGGGGGGTTAGTGCGCGGATGAGGAGGAGGGAGGGTCTAGCTAGCCTCCGTTTTGTTTGACAATACTTTAAACGTCAACAAGAAGTGACGTCACCCGACATCGCTTAGAGAACCTTTAAATATTGTTCAGTCTGTAGATGGCACTGCATGATTTGTTATGTTTTTTTTACTAAAGTACTATAGTCTGGTCAAGTGTTGACTTGGTGATCAGAAAGATAACATGTCATTAATTATCAAATTATTATTCATGTTGTTAGATATTAGGGAGAGATTGATTTGATTAATATTGATTTACATATTAAACTCTGGGAAATTCCCTTGCAGACCGCCACTGAGAACAGAAAGGGAGATATTGCAGTTCCCTTATGTCAACCCTGTAACGCTGCATTATTTTCTGCAAAATGCTTAATTGTTTCCAAGATTGAGAGAAGTTTATCTAGCTGTTCATTCCTTTCCGTTCTACTTCACTTAATCTTGAATATCTTTTAAGGGTCCTTCACACACAATAGGCTCTACTTGTCTTTAGTCGTTTAGAAAAATATAGAACACTTACTAAAAGGTCCTCATAAAATACTGATTCTTCTCTTTGCTAATGCAACCTCAGGTTCTGTGCCAGGTAAATTAATGTATTCATTCCTTCAATAATTGAGAAATATTTCACCTGACACAGAATATATGAATGAGTCAGTTGACAAGCCAGCAGCAGCTTCTAAACCTAGGTGTTATTTTGAAATTAATACTTGTGCTATCATTGATAGCCCCCGGTTGCTGGAAAAAAATATATAGCTGAAAAAAATCATCAACTGTTGGGCTTGTCCTGCAAATTTACATTCATCACAATCTGCGGTTTTAGCTTCTCTGATGGCACTAAAACTTGGCATGGTTTAGGCACTATTAACACAAACATTACATCGCAGGAGGACTGCAGTAAGGTACTTAGCATTTGATTCTCATTCATGACCTTTACAACTGTTAAATTATGTTGCCTGTCACACACACACACACATACACAAACGCACGCACGCACGCACTGTGCTTCATGGAGGCGGGGGTAACTTGACATCCAAGAGATTGTAAGCGAAAATGTTCCAGAAGATTCCACAGAGGATAAATATTGTGTAGACACTAAAGAAGATCCAGAACAAGGACTGTTCCTGTAAGCGCTGTTCATAGTTCTGAAGAACCACAACACCAAGGGTGAGGCCCACTGCCACACCCCCCAGATGGGCCACAAAGCTGGGATTAGGGCACGGTGGGAAAGCTGGGGGATAGAATCTGAGCCAGACAGCACGACCAAACTCCACACTCACTGTAAATATAGAAAATGCTTAGTTTGAGGGGGTTACATGTAGAATCTATATGAGTGCTGGTTATATTAGAAATTTCAGGAAATACAGGAAATCTTCAATAAAGTAAACTTAAAAGTGCATGAAGTCATTTTTTGTTTATATATTTCTGTTTATTGGACTTATACTCACAGTGGATGCAGAAAATACATTTATTCAAAAGGTTTCAGTTTTCAATGTCATTGTAGAAATGTTCTGTTTGGAGGTATTTGGTAACTATTATTAATTCATAATGTCTGATACTAGGGGTACTGTCAAGATAAAGTGAGTTCTTGTGAACCACCATATACAGAATACATCTGTTGAAAAAAAAGTCACCATCAGAGAATAGAAAAGTTCTTCAAACTTTCACATTTTAGCTCTTGAAATAACTAGGGATACATTAATAATAAAATTCAGTCTGATACGGATAAGCTGATAACTGATAAATTAACCATATTCAAATTCTGTAGAATTTCATGTTGCATGAGATAATTTAGGAATTACAACACTATAAAATTAATTTTTTGAGATTTACATTAGATAGCGTTATTAGATTATTGTTATTTTTAAAGATTAACTTTAAGTGAGCTGTAGATGATGGCAATGATAATCTAAACATAAAGTAGGGGAAATGAGAACGCACAATTAAAGATGATGTATGTAATTTCAGAGATGGCAGAATCTACCCGACCTAAAAAGCCTTAGCATCCTGAATTGAATTGAAATATCTTTAATGTCCCCTAGGGGCAATTTAGTTCACAGCTGATAGCCAACATATACACATTCACACACAAACAGATAAAAACATGAGATAATAAATAGATAAAAACATAAGAACATATACCTATAGGTTGTTGAGAAACCCAACAGCTAATGGTACAAATGATTTTAAATATCTGTTGGATCTGGCGCGTTTTCGGTAGGTATACCTCCTTCCTGATGGTAGGAGGCAGAACTCAAAGTGTAGTGGGTGAGTGATGTTAGCTAAAATGGCCATTGCCCTCTGTGTAGCTCTGGCCTTGTACATATGCTCAATGCTGTTCAGATCAGTACCAATTATCTTTCGACATATGTTTACAATTTTTCCCAATCTGTTTTTGTTAATTACACTCAAATTGCCAAACCAGCAGATCATAGCAAAGGTTAAAGGTACATCCATCTAAAAAGATCTATGTCCAGAGGCAAATTAAAACGCAGAAAAATCAACTCATCAACCTACAGTAGCCGTGTTTCCATTACAGATTTGAGCAAAACTTTTGCGATATTTTTCAAATGTCGATAAAAAAAACAACGATTGCGAAATGATGGCTTTCCATTAACCGATGTTATGCGACTAAAACATCTTTTTTTTCCTCTCGCGATAAGTAATTCCAAAAATCATGGCAACGGATGTTGGAAGGTTTATGTATATCCCAGCCACCGGACTAGCCATTATTTTTAATCGAAGGAGACGTAGGCGTGTTAATGGCAAGGAAAGCCCCTTATACTTGGGAGTGGCACATATGAGGTGTTTATCCCTCCTATCTGCTTCAAGGTCTTGATAAATTGTGGCAGTACTTTGTTGTTTAGAATCCAGTATTCCCGTGATACTTTTGTCTTTTATGAGTTTAATAAAAAACTCTGTCTCGTCTTCTGTCCAAACATACTGCACCTTCTTTAAATAATGATCGACTTTTACGTACGCCAGATGACCTGTAAATGTGAAAAAAAACTGTTTACATTGCAGTTTTGCAAAATATTCCTTTTTCGAATTACCTGACAAACCACCTCATCCGAGTGTAAAAACTTTTTTGTGATATATGGGAGTTTTTTGCGAAATTGATGTGTTTCCATTGGGTGTATTTTCAATTCGCACAATTTGAAGGATAATGGATACGCGGCTATTGTGAGGCTCGTCACCTTCCATTGCCAATTGTGCTCATTCCTGTTTTGTGTCTCTCAAACTGGCAACCTGCATGGGCATTGAGTCTTGAGGAGGAGGGGGCAGGAGAAACAGTTCTCTCCAATATTTTGAATTTGGTTTGAACTGCTAACTGTCAATTTTACATACTGCACCTTTGAATATTCAATAAATGAAATAATTTCTAATTTGATGATAATTATTATGGTACCAATTTATTTTGGGTCCCTAGAAATGACTTTCAATATTTTATATTTCCAGCAAAAAATTTCATTTTTAGCATGAGTAACATAAAAACAGTTTACATACTGCACACCAGAGCCATTGCCATACGGAAGAGCTTGAACTGACACTTCATCCCTGACCAGTTCTGTAAAAGCGAGGGAGAGAAACATCAAATTAGGAGATAAGAGTACAAAGTTGGTGGTAGGTAAGAGAGAAAGCACATCAGTATTCTTTCTTAGACTGTTCTGGTGTTGTTCCAGGGAATTGGTTTTGGTACCCCATTTTATCAAGGTTGCTTCAAACTGAAATGGAAATTTGTTCTGGCATTTTCCGTGATGATGTGACGATCAGAGCTGGCATAGGGAGAAGCATTAGCACCTGTAACACATCAGCTAATTCAAGGTCAGTCTTGCTGTTTTGCATGTAATATTCTAAATAATAACTGAGTCAGTTTTGATTTGACCTGATGAGAGATCCGTTTTTGAGGACAAACTATATGTGTAATCTGAGTCCTGACCATGTAACAGTGCTGACACAAAAAAATCTATCTGAAAAGCTGAGCAAGTACAGGAGGGTTCATGATCTGACCAGGGAGAACTGTGTACAGACCCAGTGTTAATATTTAATGACTGTGACCAGGTCATTATGCAGTACAAAATACCTCCATTCACTTAGAGATAAGGTCTAAGTTTTAGGGAGCAGCACAGAGGTATTTGATTGGTCAGCGAAAGAGAGGGAGGGGCAACATAAAAGACTTGAGTTTAACATGCATATATCATATGAATGGCTAAAACTCTTATAAAAAGAGCCTAACAATCTTTCAGCTATTTGATAATGTGAGAATATCAATGGGAACAGCTGTGCATGAAATTAGGGCAGAAAAAAAAAGGCCTATGAATAATGGACATACACGTCAGATAGGGTTAATAGCTTGAGTTATTGTGTAATTTTTGTGACAAGAGAAATCAGGCTGATCTTCACACTCATTATTTATCCTGACACAAGTCTGAGTCATGGGCTTCCTGCTTTTTTTTTTCCAAAAGAGAATTTAAACAGGACCTGAATGAAGATTGAAGTCTATATTCTACATAAACCACTATATGGCACCATAGTGATACATTTTTTTTATTTTTTATTTCTAGGCATTATCACAAATTGATGCTGAACAATTTTCATTTTCTAGAGCAAAACCTGATCACAATTCCTCAAAAAGGAAAATAGTGATTTCTCAATTACCATGACGACATTGGCGAGGTGGGCAGAGACCAGAGCATAGACTCCCCCTGATGATCCGACCACAGGTGCTGTCATGTCCGTCACTGATACAGCCAATGAACCTGCAAGAAGACAATGCAGTCACAATGACACAAACATGTTGAGGATATTTTCACCAATACTTTCTCTTTCTTAGAAACTGGAGCCAAAATCACTTGAAATTAATCCATTGTTAACAATTGAACAAATGACGACAAATATGAGTCAAGAGATGGCAGATTGAAAGAATATCAGTGAAAAATTACGTACATTTTAATCTGTCACAAAGCTTTTATACTAAACTCATAAGACATTCTGCCTAATATATCTGTCACGGTTGTGGTGTAGATAAAGACAGGCTGAGGCAAAAAGCTCCAATGCAAAGATTTACTCAAAATCAAACAACAAACAGGTACAGGCAGACAGAGGGTACACTCACAAAAACACTATAACATTACAAGAACCGACCAAGACTACTGAACAGAAGCAAACTAAATACAAGCACAAATCAAACCTAACAAGGTGAAGACAGGTGGCACAGATGAAGGTGATAAACAAGACACAGGTGATGAAGATGAACTAATGACGGTTGGCATGGAAACAGATGAGTGGCGGGAAAGCAAAAGACATGTGACTAATACTGAAAACAGAAGACCAAAACAGACACGAACGTGACATTACTCCCCCCTTCCGGAAGGCGCGACCACACGCCGAAGAAAGACCCTGGGCGGAGCAGGATGAGCAGGCGGCCAGGGCGGAGCAGGACGTGCAAGCGGCCAGGGCGGAGCAGGACGTGCAGGCGGAGCAAACCCTTCGGGCGGCCACGGCGGTGAGGACGGAGGGAGGAGCCATGGAGGCGGGGCTGACGACTCCAGGGAACCGACTGATGGAGGCGGAGCAGGTGATCGAGGAGACCCGGGTGGAGCCGTAGAACCGACGAAACAGGGCGATGTCAAAGGACTGGAGGGAGATGGTGAGACCGACGGCTCCGGCGACCGAGGCCAAGACGGGGATCCTGAAGACCGCTGCGGAGCCGGAGCGACCGATGACCAAGGTGGAGCCGGAGAGAGAGAAGAGCCCAACTGAGCCCGAAGGATGGAGTGACGAGGCGAAGCCAGAGGAGGGTAGTCCCAGGGCGAGGGCGGGTCGATGAAGGACCAAGGGGGAACCGGAGGGACGAAGAAGCCCGGAGGAGCTGGTGGGCTGAAAGGCCACGGCGGAGGTGAGGGAGGTGAGAGCCACGGTGGAGGTAATGGACTGGAATGGACTGGGAGGCAGAGTCCAGGTAGAGGAGGTCCGAGGAGGAGACCGGGGATCCCCTGACCCTGATGGAGTTAGTGGCAGGCAGACCCACAGCGACTCCACCTCCTCGAAGCACTCCGGGGGAGCAGTGGGGCTGCCAGGCAGTGGTGGAGGAAAGGTCAAAACGTGATGGTTAGGAGGAGGTGGGAGAGGGAGGCTGGGTGGGAATTCAGGCTCTGGCGCAGGATCAGCGGGCTCTGGCGCAGGATCAGCGGGCTCTGGCGCAGGATCAGTGGGCTCTGGCGCAGGATCATCGGGCTCTGGCTCGGCTTGGTTGGACGGAACCAGCGGCGAAGAGGGCTTTGAGCTGGGCAGGACCAGCGGCGAAGGATCAAGATCTATGCTGGACGGGACCAGCGGCGAAGGAAGCTCTGGGCTGGACGGGACCAGCGGCGAAGGAAGCTCTGGGCTGGACTCATGGGCTGTAGCTGATGTGTGTGCTGCCCACCCACACAAAACAGCCACGGACACCACAATGAGCGCTGTGTCTTCCAGAGCAGACTCAAGTGCAGCATGAACAGTCTCTGGCAGGGCGGACAACACATGCTCAGACTCTGGCGGGCAGGCGACGGACTCTGGCTGGACGGTCTCTGGCTGGACGGTCTCTGGCTGGACAGCTGTGAAGAGAGGAACCCATGGGGCTGGCTGTGTCCCGGATCTAGGCTCGACACTCTCCAGACACCGGATGACGGTCGCCCTCCAGTCTAGTCCGGTGGTGTCTGGAAGGTCCATGGGCTGGTTGAACGTAGCCCCGATCCGGAACAATGTGCACAGGGCCTCATCCCTCAAGTCACTGGTGATTGCAATGCGGCAAAAGTCCCGGGCAAAAGAAAAAAAGTTTTGGGTCTCCTGAGACAGGACAATTATCTTGACCCCATCGTCCATCTTGACCCCATCGTCCATCTTGGGGCAGTCGGTTCTTCTTGTACCACACACAAAACAACGCATTTTTGCTCACCCTCAAAAAATTAAAATTTTAACATGCTATAAAAAATGATCTGTGGGGTCACTGAAAAACACTGAAAGCCAATCAGAATCCATTGTAATTTAAGGGCTCACGCATTTAAAATGGCAGACGACATTGCGGAGAACTTAATCGCCGAGGTCCAGAAAAATCCACTAGTGTTTGACAAGCAAATATAGTTTTCGTTATAGTTATCTTATGGTCACTAACTGTTTCCCACCCGTACACACATACATGCGCATAAACACACACACACACACACACACACACACACACACACACACACACACACACACACACACACACACACACACACACACACACACACACACACACACACACACACACACACACACACACACACACACACACACACACACAATATGGTCCATGAGGAAAATGTTTACATTTCAGTGTACAAAATGTTCTATTTTGTCTTGTGTGTTGTTATCTTTGTTTTTTTGTTTTGTTTTTACGAAGTGCATTCTTGCTTTGCCTTTTAAAGTTATATATTTATGTTTACTGGATGAATTGCTGCTGGATTTTCGTTGTTCATTTCTTGGGCAATGACAATAAAAACTTTCTACTTCTACTTCTACTTCTACTTCTTACGCCGTCCGCTTTAGACCATGCGCTTAGATCGTTAAAATAGGGTCCATAGTTGTGGTGTGGACTATGCTATTCTTTTATATTTAAAATGTTTTTTTAGAACTATATCTTTATCATTATCGTTATAGTTATCGTTCCTGGTGTGAACAGGCCTTAATAGTCAATAGTAAATGGACCCCTACTTATAAGCTATTGCTTCTTGGGAGTCCATTTTTCACAATAGAATATAATTGTCTTTTCCTGATCAGTTGTTGGGCAGGATACTTTGAACTATGGTGTACTATAGTAGCTGTAGTTGGAATTGTAATGTGTTTTGTACTGCATAATTTATACTGTTTCGTAAATGTAGCTGAGTAACCGAGTAACTACTTTACATTGCTTTACACCCTTGGCAAGATATGGACTGAAATGATTTGACATCGAGCCGGGGTGCAGCCTAAGATTTAATTTTCCCAATCTCTCGAGTCTCGTGTTGACGCTGGCTATAAGTTCCTGCAGATTTTGTACACCAGCATCCAGCTCCTGCTGACATGTTGCATCTTATTTGTCTGTAACTTGAGTTACTTAAATTGTGATGTCAGTTATATTACAATACTTAGTGTGGGTAATGAGTGGAATCCCAGATCAGACAGTTTGCTGATCAGGATGTCGGGGATGATAGTGTTGAAGGCTGAGCTATAATCAATTAAGAGCATCCTGACATAGCTCTCTCTATGCTCCAGGTGGCTCAGCGCCGTGTGTAGAGTGATGGCAATAGCGTCCTCAGTTGCCCTATTTGCCTTGTAGGCGAATTGATAAGGGTCAGATGAGGGAGGGAGGCAATCTTTGATGTGACCCAAGACTAACCGTTCCAAGCATTTGGTGATGATTGGTGTAAGTGCCACTGGGCGGTAGTCGTTGAGGCTGGTTATATTTGAATTTTTGGGTACAGGGATGATAGTAGTCGACTTTAGGCAGGCTGGGATAGTAACCTGTGCCAGGGAAAGGTTGAAGATGCTGGTGAACACCTTTGAGAGCTGGTCAGCACAGGCCTTGAGCACTTTCCCAAGTACTCCGTCCGGTCCTGCTGCTTTCCTGGGGTTCACCCTGCTGAGCACCTCTTCCACATCCTGAATCTGCACAGTCAAAGGTTGAAAACTGAAAGCTGGTTGGGGCTGAGGTGGTATGATTGCAGACTGTTTGAGTGGGATCTCAAAGCGTGCAAAAAAGGTATTCAGTTCTTCCACCAGTGCGATGCTTGAGTCCACAGCTGTGTTAGTCTGTCCCCTGAAGTTGGTGATCTGCTGAATACCCTGCCATACCTGCCGAGGGTTGTTATTAGAAAGATGGCTTTCTATTTTCCTCCTGTAGTCAGCTTTAGCTACCCTGATCCCTCTCTTCAGGTCAGCTCTGGCAGTGCTGTATAATGCTTGATTTCCTGACCTGAAAGCGATATTGCGGTTTTTGAGTAATGATTTGACTTGACTGGTCATCCAGGGCTTCTGATTTGGGAATACCCGGATGCGTTTGACCACTGTGACATTCTCCGTGCAGTACTTGATGTATGATAGTACAGCCTCTGTATATACTGCCAGGTCGTGATGTTCAAAAACACTCCAATCAGTGTATGTGAAACAGTCCATTAGCTTAGGAAGTGCATCTTCTGGCCAGATAGTGATCGTCTTTGTCAGTGGGGTTGTTCTTCGTATAAGAGGTTTGTAAACAGGGGTGAGGAGCAAAGAGAGGTGGTCGGAGTGGCCTAAATGCGGAAGTTGTGTGGTCTTGTATGCATGTTTTATGTTTGTGTAAACATGATCTAAGGTTTTTCCCCCCCTAAGTCGAACATTTTACATACTGGTAAAATTTAGGCAAAAAGGACTTCAAATTTGCCTGATTAAAATCACCCGCAATAATGTGTACCCCGTCAGGATGAGACTTCTGTTGTTTGTTTATGTTATTTGACAGCAGCGAGGGAGCAGTGCTAACGTTAGCATCGGGAGGAATGTACACAGCCGTAATTATCATTACTGTTAGTTCTCTAGGCAGAAAAAAAGGACGGCATTTAACAGAGAGGGACTCTAGGTCCGGTGAACAGTGCTTATGTATGGTCAAGTTGTCTCTAGACCATTTGTCATGTACATACATACACAGACCCCCCCCCCTCTGTTCTTACCAGATGCTTTGTTTCGATCGTAGCGATGCATGGAGCGCCCAGCTCCATGCAGCGCT